GGCAACTACTCTGGTACCTGCTGAACAGTAAGCAGGTAGTTTCATTATGGGCAATATCTTATGCAGTCAAAATGCATCTCTAGTAGTACTTCTCTTTCTCTGAACAGTGTTTTGGAAGTGTTCAAAAATTATTTTTTGTACTAGCAATTATTAATAGTATTTCAGTACTGTATGTAAATGCGATCTGATCTCTTCAGCTGTTAATATTTCTCTTCCATAGGTGCATAAAAAGGATAAAAAGTATAAATGTATGGTGTGTAAGAAGATTTTCATGCTAGCAGCCAGCGTTGGAATAAGACATGGATCACGACGCTATGGAGTTTGTGTAGACTGTGCAGATAAATCTCAGCCTGGAGGGCAAGAGGGAGCAGACCAGGTGCAGGACACAGATTTCCCTAGGGATGAAGAATACGAGGAAAATGAAGTGGGAGAAGGTGATGAGGAGCTTGGTGATGATGTAGAAGAACAGAATGACCAGTCTCGATGGGATGAATCTGGGGAAGTTTGTATGCCTTTAGATGACTGAAGAGCATAGACTTCAGGGTGCCACAAATGGACACTGCACGGATTGACTCTTGGAGTTTTTGGACTGAAGGCTTGAGAAATATGGTACAGGCTGGATGGTAGTTATGTTGCTGTGAAAAGTGTACGGTCAAAGCCTTATAGCAAAAAAGGATTATTAATTTTTTATGATATTTGCACAGGACTGTACAGCATACAACCATTTGGTTGAATTATACAGAGTCCTCACATCTACAGTCAGTTATCAAAATAAAAATGTATTTTTTATTATTTATAGGATATAGCTACTTGGGTCCTATTCAGACATAGTAGTAACTGTACTTATGTTACACATTCATGTATCTGTTAACATGAATGAAGAAGATTGAAACTTAGTATGGAAATACAAAGAGAGCTTTCCCAAATCCACTTGTACTTTGTCAGTGAACCAGTGAAGCTAATTTGGACCAATGGCTCTTATTTCCACAAGCATGTCTTTGTCATGGAAATCTTACCTTTCCCGTACTCTGATAGGTGAAAGCCAATCATTTAAATATGCATCACAGATAATGACAACACCATATTGAAATTTGATTTTCAAACTTTTGACTCTGTGCTGGCAGGTGGAATAAGTGATAAGCTCTGGAGAAGTTAATAATGGCATTAATTTAGTGTCTGTTTCTTCACAGTTTTGAATTCTCAATACGGTTGTTATTGATTCATTAGTTCCAAAATGATCTTGCTGAAGAAATGACCAATAATGAAAACAATAGACTGATCACTTAGTCAAAAGAGATAGTCACGCTAAAAGTATCTGATGTTTCCTCCCTCCTCTAAGGCCCCTCTCCTCAAACGTTTTTACTTCCCTGGTGCATACCTCAGTCCCACAGAATAAAAATACAAGGAATGGAGAAAGTGTCATATGAGGTTTTGGCTAGTTAACGTGATGTGAATTGGACACTAGGCTGTTGCGCCCATCGTTCGTCATTAAAATGAACACAGACTATTTTGTATTCTTTTGTACTTAATGGCTTGTTTCTAGTGTTTATTACAAACCAATTACACTTGTCTTGTTGACTTCATTTGCTGGATTATTTTTTTTTTTTAAAGAAAAACAAAGTCCAAAGCAAAATAATGCTCTTTGAGTAGTCTACTTTTCAGGATTATATGCTCCCTACACCCTCTATTTAAAATTTTCTAGGAGGCATTGAAACTTGAATTTTTGTAGCTGTGTGGATTTTTTCCTAAGCTTGTAATATTGTACCAATGATTTCAGGCCTCTTGCATAGGGAGGGGAGGGCATTACACCTTCATCTTAAACTCTGCTGTGTTGTCTAGCCTAAGACAAATTAATTCAGGCAATTATTGGAACAATACATCTAATGTACTATTATGTCTCAAGTAAATATGCAGAGCATTTATCATGACACATAGCTAGGCCAGTGTGACAGTACTGTATAAAAAACAAGTGAGGGTCACCGTATTTTTCAGCTTTGTTTAATTTTAAAATGAGTATATTTTTTTCCTATTTTATATCAGGTAACTAAATTATGCTAGTTGTGTGGGTAACTTTAAACTATGCTTTGACGAACAGAATCTTAATGGTGCTCCATCTGATCAAAGTTGGTATGTATTTAAAGAGACAAGCTTTACTGTTGTCCTTTACGTCAGTAGAACAGTAACATAATGTTAAGACATTGTTTTTGCTGATTGAAGCTGAGAAAGGTTTGAACTACAGTTATATGGGAATTAAAATGCTTTTTTTATCATCCACTTGTTTCATTGGTAGTTTCCACATCATTGTAAACCTGACAGACTTAGTTTTTTTGGGGTGGGTGGGGAGGGTGGGGTGCCTTTTTTTTTTTCTTCTTTTACACTGAAGAATACATCTTATTGTTCTAGACTGAAATGAGTAATGTGTAATTCTGGTGGGGTCCAAAGTAGAAATTAGTTGGGCAAAGATGATATGAATGAAAAAGTATTTTAAACGTTAAAGTAATGTTCTGCTTTGTGAATATGTAAGTATAGCATAAAGAGTTCTCCATCCCATTTATCCCCTTTAAAACCATAGTTTACAATTGGTAGATCTGTCTATATATATAAATATATATATATCTGAAATTCACCTAAATCTGCTTTATTAGAATACTGCTCACTTAATGCTTAGAAACTGGACCTGGCTCTACATTTTTAATGTGTTTTTCTTTTATTTTATTTTTTGTTTGTTTTATTTTTTTGTTGTTTTTTTCTCAAATTATGAACTTACTCTCTTGGAACTGAATCTTCTTTTACTACTTAAATCATTTATGTATATCTGGTAAATTATGACCAAATTTGTTGTTAGACTGCATACAGTAAATTGAAATATACACTTGGTACACTACAGAATTGTTGTGCTTTTGTTCTGGTTTTATTTGGAAAAGCAGGCTTTAATAGAAATTAGTGTTATTTATAAATACTCAGTTATTACTCACTGGCCTTAGTATTCATTTGCATTGTGACAATCATCACTACCTTGGCAATATTTAACTGCTTGCTTTTAGAAGTTGCATGTAATTGCCCTTGGGAGCATTGGAGGAAGAAGATGACTGCTGAAAGGTGATACTAGCTCTTCAGTATATGTTGTGAAATAGTTTAATGGAGATCCACTGTTCCTGTGTTGGAGAATCAAAGTAATTTGTTTGGATGCTGTCTGTAGTCTGGATTTTCTGAGCTGTTTATTCAGAAGTTACTTTAAATTTATTACTTTGGGGAGCTCTAAATTAATACATTTCCTAAGAATTACCCTAAAAGGAACAACACAAGTTTCTTTACTATTATAAAAAGTAGGAGGAGATCTCTGTTTGCACTATAAATTTTCTTCTGAAGAAATGCTGGAGCTATGCTGTAGGAACATAGCTGTGAAGTTCCTTTTGTCTGGTTAGGAGTTGAGCTTTGTTGGGTTTTGTTTGTGTTTTCCTTTTTAGAAGGAGAAAGACTAACGCCCTTACACTGTCCTCCTTATCAAATTAAAGATACCTAGTCTTTCATTTTATCTCCTGATGACATACTTCTCAAACTAAATGTCTGAGATTTGTTTGGTAATGCCACTGGAGTAGTTTCAGGAAATTAATCGTGTATGTTATAAAAACAGACAAACACGGAATTCTAATGTTAGGATTCTACCTTTCTGTGGGGTTTTTTTTTGCCTTCTGGTCTCTTCAAACAGTGGCAGTTATCTTATTGAAATAAACACACAGAGCACTTCCTGACAGGGAACTGTCATGCAGGACAAAAAACAAATCAATGACTAAATTCACTTTGGTTACAAGTCCCTGTTGAAGAAGATTTGATAAAAGGAAGGCAATGTAAAATGCAGTTGTCCAACACCAGTGTTCTTACAGTGCAATAGCAAGCATTCCCAAATATATGTCAGATGCATCTGGCAGGAAATTTCTCTGGTTTTTTTCAACTGTATAGAAAACTTTCATAGTTCAGTTTGCAAACAAATCTTGTAGCAAAATCGTTTTCTGAAGTAAAATCGATTTTTTGAAAGCCAGAAGTAATACTTGGTTGTCAACATAATGATGTGCCCTAAGTTGAAATTACTGGTCCCCATAGTATCACTGCTAACTTTTTGAGACACAGATACTTTGCAAATGCACAGTTCTCAGGTGTTACTTTTACTATCTGCCCCTTCTTCCTTCTGAAAAGAGTGTTACCAGGTGAGGAAAAGTTTGGGGCCAGGACACTGGCATGTGGCAGGCATCTAATAGTGGGTCACGACAGTAATGCTGTTAGCAGATGTTTTCTTTGCCTAGCTTTAAGTTGGTAATGCTTTTAATAGGATTTTCTTTAATGAGGCCAGTGTCTGTGGTATGCTTGCTTGAAGTTTTATTTCACCTGGCTCTTCCTGTTCTTGCCACTCAGAAACACAAGTCTCCCCACTGTTTAAAAGTATTTCTGCAGTCTGCTGACTTCACACCGATGCAGAATGCACTTTGTAAGAACTGTACCTTGTTGCCTGATTCTTTGTAATTTTTTATATTTACATGGCTTTGGAAACTAGTAAGAGAAATTAAAGCAAGGTAATTGACAGTGCCACCAGCCTGAAAAACTTTTGTGCCAAAAGAAAGTGAAGAAAGAAGAAAAATGCTGACTGTAATATGATAAGAAAAAAGGTTTTGTATTTGAGTTGTTACAGTTTCTCTGGTTTGCTACTTGAATTCCACTTTTTTTTCTCACATAGAGAACTGAGTCCAGTTCTGGAGTCCTCGGCATAGGAAGGACATAGAGCTCTTGGAGCAAGTCCTGAGGAGGGGCACAAAGATGATGTGAGGGCTGGAGTGCCCCTGGTATGGAGACAGGCTGAGAGAGTTGGGGTTGTTCAGCCTGGAAAAGAGAGGGTTCCAAGGAGACCTCATAGCGGCCTTCCAGTACCTGAAGGGACTACAGGGAAGCTGGGGAGGGGCTTTTTACCAGGGTGTGTAGTGATAGGACAAGGGGTAATGGTTTTAAGCTGGAAGAGGAGAGATTGAGGTTAGACATTAGGAAGAAATTCATTAGTGTGAGGGTGGTGAGACACTGGAACAGGTTGTTCAAGGAGGTTGATGATGCCCCCTCCCTAGAAGTGTTCAAGGGCTGATTGGATGGAGCTTTGAGCAACCTGGTCTAGTGAGAGGTGTCCCTGCCCATGCATGATCTACATGATCTTTAAGGTCCCTTCCAACCCAAACCATTCTATGATTCTATGAATGTGTTGGACAATTCACTGTATTTCTGTTTAGCACAAGTTGGTGACAACCTTCTGATGAAGATGCTATGCAAGAAGCCCAGTTTTGAGCTTATTTGCTATCTACAGAATATGGTTCAGGCTCTGCAGAGGTAGTACCACTGAATAGTTTTCTGTATATATTTTATTATATACCTTCTTTTACCATCCCTCTTCACTATGTAATCTGTTACCCATTTTTTTTATTTGATAAGTAAATAGGACTGAGATTTGCCTTTTATATGTTTTAACAGAACATTAATGTGTTTCACAAAGCAGTATGGTAAAGGTTAAATAATGACATAGTGGATAAAAATAAATAAAGTGTTTTTCTTGTATTATCCTTTAGCAAACCTGATAAAGTCTTTTGTAACAAAGAAAAAACAGGTTTGCAATCCAGAGATGGACACGTTGCTTAGCTGAACCCTTTGAGATGTTGAAGATCCCACATATGGTTCACTAAGGATTTTAAAAATACTTTATGTGAAAAAGGTAAAAATATATTAGAAGGATCCTGTGACTTAAACTGGAAAAAAATATTGACTTAAGTACTTTGTATTTAACATTATTGCAATTTGAAGCAAATGTTTAAAATAAGTTACACATGATGTTTTGTGTACCTGAATTGATTTGGATTAGCACTTCAGAATACAAACTCCTCAACAACATTGGAATGTAAACATAATTTCAAGAATTCTAGTACTATGTGCACCAGTTTTTAATTTACCATACTGCAAATAAATTAAAAAGAAATAACTTTTTTTATCCATTTTTATATGTGCCCTGCCTACTCACCCTCCACAAGTAGACGCAGAGAGATTTCCTCAGGTAACACATAAGTGTTAACATACAGTCACTTGCTGCAAATGACTTAATTTTGTAACAAAATAATAATAG